AAAGTGAGGACAGGGTACTGCATTGGATGATCAGCCATGATCATATTGAATGGCAGAATAGGCTTGAAATTCCAAATGGCCTATACCTGCTCCTATTTTCTATGTTTCTAAGCTGGTAGGACTTGACCATGGCCTCCTGGTGCAGAAGTTGGAGCATTACTTAGGGCCTCTTGTGGGCAGTGGTAAATATTTTTAATGAACCTGTCCAGGTGTGTTATGACACCTGGAATAGATGGGACACAAATTTGGGCCTTCTCGCTTCAAGGTCGGAATACCACCACTGTGCCGCAAGAGCCCCTCACACTGGAGTTTTCAGTAGTATCTTTTCTCTTCTCTCAAACTGCCTCTTGCAATCCCTTCCTTTTACTACTACTTTTTCTCTCTTGGAAAGTCGTCTTTGAACCTAATTTCAACACCGTGGTTTTGGTCTCTTCTGTAATACTTTCTCTGCTACTGAGGGTCCATTTCTTCTTCTTGAAATGTCTCAGGACAACCCATGTTAATAGCATCACACAAATGTACGTTGTTCTGCTGAAAGTAAGTGTGAAACTGATCTGCAGATCACTTTAGCTATTACAGGGTAACCAATTTCATCTATACCACAAAGTTGAGGGAAGTTTTTTTCTGGTGTAGTTAACTGTTTTTAAAGAGCTTTAAGTAGGAGTTATATATTTTAATCTCAGCTATTGTGTTCTGATGGAAACACTGATATAAAAATAAGCCATTTTTATATGAAGTAACATTGTGCTATGTGGAAGTGCTTTATAAAGTAGAGAAAAACAGTTCAATAGTAGTGTTCTTAATCAGTGTTGTAGCGAAACGTCTGAATTTTTAAGCCAAAGGTCAAAATCAGTATTGTATTAAATTATATTCCTCTGTTTTACAGAGGAATGTATAGGCCAAATGTCATAGAAAATACTTGTTTGAACACATCCCATTATTCATTTGTAATTTTAATCCATTAACAGTTTAACCAGTTCACTGTGTTCAATGACTTGTCAACCTTACCTAAATTTAAAGCCTCAATTTGTGACTTACTCTTCCTCCTATTAAAGATAATAAATACAGGTATTTCTCCTATAACGCGGTAGTTGTGTTCTTGTGTGACTTCATGATATAGAAAATTGCTTTGGAAACTTGCGTTATAGGGAAATCATTAAAGAAAATTGCTATACTGTACAGTAGAAAGTTTGCCTTATCCAAACAGTGTCCACGATTCATGAATTGCGTTACAGCCAATTCGTGTTAACGAAACACGCGTTATAGCAGAAATACCTGTAATGTGAAATTTCAGTCACTATTAACTAGGTGTTTCTTTTCCTTTAGGTGTTTAGTTAATTCTGTCACATTACTCATAATTAAACTTACCTTTTCTTATCCTCATTTGGTTCAAGAACATACTCCTGAAAATTGTCTTTCAAAATCTGCCTATGGGACCCACCATTCTGCTTCTCCCAGTCAAAGTGAAATTAAAGTGTCCATTGTATTCACTCTGACTTTGCGCAAGCATGCTGCTACTTTTTCATTACTATCAAGAGATCTGTAGACAACTCCCACCCAAGTATCTTATGTTTTTCTATTCTTCAGTTCTTCCCAGAGGGTCTTATGTTGCCTGCTCACTTCGCTGATATATCCATCTCTTAATGATTTAAGTTTTTTTTTATAACCAACATTGCTGCTAACCCTTTGCCAATTTCGGTCTTTTCTAAAGATATTATAACTCTGACCACTTCCATTAGAAAAACCTGCCAGTGCAAAGTGTCGAACTATTTCCCTGAATCAAACATTGCAGGCAGTTGCTTTGATGTAGTCTTCAAGCTTTGGAGCTTGTTTCAGAGCAATGCATGCTCCATTCATTGGCCACTTCGTTAAAATAGCCCTGTGGCAGCAAAGCTATTTTCTAGAATACTTTCACAGATTTAGCTGTGTACTGCAATATCCTGTTGGATTTCTAGTGGTTGTACATTTTGAGCGTCACATCTGGTATGACTGTAAGATAACATAACTGTATCCTTAGTTATTTTTCATTCATAGAATGTGTGTGCCACTGGCTGAGCCATGGATTGCTCATCCCTAATTGTCCTGAAAAAAACTGTGATGAACCGCCTCTTGAACCACTGCAATTCATGCCATACAGGTGCATAGTCAGTGCTATTAGGAAGCAAGTTGCAGAATTTTGATCTGACAACCATGAAGGAACAATAATATAATTCCAAGTCAGAATGATATATGACTTGCAAAGAGCAAAGCAACGGATGGGGCCAGGCAATCCCACGAGTAACAGATTAGAAGAGACAAAGAAAGCCCAGGAACCAGTAGGGTGGGCTGACAGCAACAGGCAAGGACCTGGGAGGTAGTGATGTAAGGATGGCTCAGGAGCTGACAGGCTCTGTCCCCACATAGCTCTCTTCTGCACTCCTACTGGCTCTCTTTCTCAGTGATGCACACATGCACACACACTGCCTCTGGGTCTAGATCTCTCTCACCCACCGTCTCTGGTCCTGATCTACCCTCCCCAAGGCCCTGAAATCTGCATTTGCACAATTTAAAGCAGTGGATAGCACACATGCATTGGGTCACCAGTAGCAGTGACAAAATCCAACTACTGCAGTGCTGGAAATCTGAAATAAAAACAGGAAATGCTGGAGATACCTAGCAGGTCTAGCAACATTTGTGGAGTGAAAAAGAGTTATTGTTTTGAGTCCAGTATCACTTTTCTTTAGAACTGAAGACGTGCTCCAGAAGTAACCATGCACCAAGTGAAGTTGTTCCAGCATAGGTGTAATATCAACATTTGCCCAGGACTGTAGAGAACTGCCCATATATATTCTGTCTCAAAGCAGGGCAAAGCCAATCCAGCCAAATATCATCCTCACAATCATCAGAGAAGTGATTGAAGAGGTCATCAACAATACTATCAAGCTGCAGGTATTCAAGAATAATCTGATGTTTTCATTGATTAGATACCACCTAAGCCCTCTGACCATAACCTCCTTATAGCCTTGGCCCAAACATGGATTAAAAAAAGCTGAATTCCGGGGACGAAGCAAGAATGACTGCCCTTGAAAATAAGACAACATCTGACCAAGTATCACATCAAGAAGCCCTAGCAAAACGAGTCAGTGGGAATCTGCAAAAACTCTCCATTTGTTGGAGTCTACCTAGCATAAAGAAAGATAGCACTGATATTTGAAGTTCCATCATCTCAGTCGAAGGACATAATTGCAGGAATTCCTCAGAATAGTTAGCTAGGCCCACTCATTTTCAGCTGCTTCATGAATGACCTTCATTCCATCATAATATCAGAAATGGGGATATTAACGTTAATTTTGCAATGCCCAGCATAATTTGCAACTCCAACAAAAGAGAATCCAACTACTTTCTGTTGATATTCAATAGCATTTTCACACTGAATTCCTACTGTCAACATCCTGAGGGTTACCACTGACCAAAAATTGAACTGCACAGACCAAATGAAAAATATGGATACAAGAGCAAGTCAGAGGCTAGGAATTCTCTGTCATGTATGACCACCTTCCTCCCCAAAGCCTGACCACCCTCTACACGAGGCTGGAATCATCTCACCTTGCCGGGATGCGTGCAGCTCCAACAATGCAAAAAGCTCGACATCATTTCGGACAAAGCAGCTAGCTTGGTTAGTGCCTCATCCACTCCCAAGATTTTCTGTCTCCACACCTAAGTTCGGTGGCAACAGTGTATGCCATCTGCAAGATGAACTGCAGCAATTCACCGATTCTCCTTCAAAAGCATCTTCGAAACCCACAAACTTTACTACTTAGAATGTCAATGGCAAAAGATTTAAAGGAACACCACCACTTACAGGATCCCCTCCAAGTCATACATCATTCTGACATGGAAATATATTATTGTTCCTTCATGGTCGTCGGATCAAAATTCTGCAACTTACTTCCTAACAGCACCGGCTATGCACCTATATGGCGTGAATTGCAGTGGTTCAAGAAGGTGGTTCATCGCAGTTTTTTGAGGACAATTAGGGATGAGCAATCCATGGCTGAGCCAGTGGCGCGCACATTCTATGAATGAAAAACAACTAAGGATACAGTTATGTTATCTTACAGTCATAACAGATGTGATGCTCAAAATGTCCAACCACTAAAAATCCAACAGGATATTGCAGTACACAGCTAAAACTGTGAAAGTATTCTAGAAAATAGCTTTGCTACCACAGGGCTATTTTAACTAAGTGGCTAATGAATGGAGCATTGTTTATTGCATGCTGCTTCCTCAGATTGACCTAGGTTGATGCCTCAATTTTAGATTTGCCTGCTCCTGCAAGCCACCCTGTACTCTTCATTGTTGTTTCAACATTATTCATGACTACCTATCAAATTTTTATTCTCTTGTGTGCATAAAATTTTGTCTGTAGTCTTCACTCTTAACATTGTTTTTAACTATAAAACATGTAAAACTATATGTGGACTGCTTTATACCCCTATATCTTGGGGATTTTCAAAATCCTTTGGGCTGACAGTTCTTCAAAAGATCCAAGCGCTGATTTTCTGAACCTATGTAGACTGTTGTACTGATTATCCGGAAGTTTACTCCTGATTTTTATGATTTAAATTTACAATTCAAATAAATTTTTAGATGACTGGACTAAATAGACAGTCATTAATGCCCAATCCTATAGATGTTGTAAATTGGAAAATAAAGCAAAAAAAAAAATCTGGGAATGCATAAAGGATCAGTCAGCAACCATGTAGAGGAGTCTTTATTTTGGGTTGCATATTTTCAAAATTGAATTGCATACAGTCTGTTCTCTTTTATGTTTGCTGAATTACCTGCTGTTTATCCAGCAATCTTTCTTTTTATATCTAAGTCTGTATTGGATTGGATTACTGAGTTGTTTTTCTCTTTATCTTGTCATGTAGTTAGAATTGGATGTTGTAAATGTAGAGAGAAAATATAAATCCAAATTAACAGGGCACAGTCTCACCAAATCTTTATTTGTCTTCAAGGAAAACTATGAACGAATGAAGGCATTAGTTACAGAACTGAATGAGCGAGCAGAGAAAATCAGATTAGGTAAGCATGTAAGATAAATAATAATGTTAAACTGAGTAATTTTGGCTGGTTGCTCTTCTGTTCCCCACCATCATCATTTTTACTACAGCTAGTCAGTACACCACAAAGCGTGGCTTTTTGAACAAGCAATTTTTTTTATGGCTCAAATTTTAGAAATCTTTCTTTGAGCAAGAAGCTTGTGGGTTCATATTGCACTCTATCTTTTATATTTCAGTGCAGTCTTGTGGGTATACTGAATCGTCAGAGGTTGTTTCATGCTACTGAACAAACATGACATTAAAGTAAATTTTACTTCATAAATCCTGCTTCTCTCCCTGAAAGCATGATCAAAAATAATAAACTGTGTACCCCATTGAATGACTGACTATTTTTGGTGTGAACATTCTTTGAATGAAGTGCCAGTTGTTTGCTAGACTGATTCACATTTTTGTTCCTAAGGATCGTTTCTGGGCTTCTATTGATCTTTTCTGAGATGTGTGAAATGAATAGTGCATGTAGAAAACGGTATTCTTGGGGCTGTGGCCTCATCCAGTTCATGTGGATTGGCAATATTAAGACTATCATTAACTTGAATTACTGAGCAGGTTAATAATACTTGAGATTTGAAAGGCTGAATCTCTATGGCAATTTGGAACCTAGAGAAGTGCTTTTCAAATACTCAGAATTGATAGCCTAGACGCCTTACTGATAGTTTTTGAGTTATGAGTAAATTGGTCCATCTGTCCCTATTAATGTATATTCAGAAAGGGGCAGTCCTTTTGTTTAGCCTAGCGAGTTTGTTATCTTCAAGGAAAGCTATGAACAAATGAAGACACTAGCTACAGAACGGGATGAGCATGCAGAGAAAATCAGATTAGGTAAGCATGTAAGAAAAATAATAATGTTAAACAAAGATTTGGTGAGACTGTGCCTTGAAAGAGTTTGGGCATAACTGTCACCTTTAGGTATTTGAAGTCAGATGCTGATCATGCTGAGGGACATAGTTCATAAGCTTTCTTTGTGTGAGGAACATATTATGGATTATTTGGTAATGTTGGGATTGGAATTAGAAGGGTTTGCTATGAAATATAATCTGACCATGATGATTTTTGTTTGCCTTCTTGGGCTGTAGAATCGTAGAATCCCTACAGGGCAGAAAGAGGCCAGTCGGCCCGTCGAGTCTGCACTGAGCCTCAGAAGAACATCTCATCCTATCTCTGTAATGTTGCATTTACTATGGCTAATTCACGTAGCCTGCACATTCCTAGACATTATGGGGCAATTTAGCACGTAATCTGCACATCTTTGGACTGTCGGAAGAAACTGGAACACCTGACAGAAACACATGCAGACAGGGGGTGAACGTGCAAACTGCACACAGTCGCCAAAGGCTGGAATCGAGCTGGGTCCTTGTGCTGTAGGGCAGCAATACTAGCCACTGTGCTGCCCCTCTACTCTATGAATGTCTGAACTATCATTGATGCATGTCCCCAGGGCAGAGAGAAGACAATATTAGGAATATCCTTATCTTGTGTCTGTCAAATGGCATTACAATCTGAGACCATTAGTACAGCTATCAAACTGCGGTTCAAGTGTAGGATTGAAATTCATCTCCTGAACATATTGTTCAATCAGTCCAATACAAAAATAAGACGTTCTCTCTTCACAAAGTCAGAAATCATATCTCGGACTAAGGTGAGGACTAGAGAATAGTAATTATTGCTGGATAAACCTTCAGTATTTTTGGTGTTGTTCCCCACCTGATGATCCATGCGGATTTACTTGGCTGTGGCCCAGCTTGGTGGCCAGGATCTTGACTAATATTTTGTAATTGGTTTAAGCAGGAACAATAAGACGAACACCGGATGGGGTATTGAGTCTCCACAATATGCTGTAAGAATTAGGAAGGCTGTCCGTTCAGGAAGCAGAGATTTTCTATAACTCCGATTTCTACCTGTACCTGTTCAGAATCTTTGCACTGTTGCATGATTGTATTGCCAGGTTTGGGGACACCAGTAATCATGCTTGATGAAAAGTGGGATGTTGTCTGAGAAGAGACTTTGGATCTGAAATGTACAATGAGCCATTGAAATCTGTAAAACCCTTGTTGATTGTACTTGGGTATGAGGTTAGAATCATAGAATTCCTACAGTGTGGAAAGAGGTCATCAGGTCTGTACCCACCCTCTGAAGAACATGCCATCCAGACCCAGCCCCCCACTCTGTCTCCATAACCTTGCATTTGGCATGGCAAACCACTTAACCTGCACATCTTTGAACTGTGGGAGGAAATTGCAGGATCTGGTGGAAACCCACGCAGACATAGGGAGAATATGCAGACTTCTACACAGATAGTCACTAAAAGGCTGGAATTGAACAGAGTCACTCATGCTGTGAGGCAGCAGTGCTAACCACTGAGCCACCATACTGCCATGGTCAGCTAACTGTTTGTTTTGAATTGAGGTTTGTTGTCACAAGCTGTCTATTCGGACTACTTCTGATTGTTTGTTTGTTTTTTTTTGCATCCTTAAAATATTTTACAGCAGAAGTATTTTGCTCTCATCTGGTCTTAATTAGGACTTTATCATTATTCTCCAATTTTTTTTTTTAAAGTAATTCCATCACTTTGTGTTTAGAATCATTTTAGTGCTGAATATTTCTTGGTGGAGTAGAGCAAAATGATTTTTTTTCATTCATGAGACGAGGTGTTGCTGGCTGGGCCATCATTTATTGCCCACCCCAGAGGGTAGTTAAGAGTCAACCACATTGCTGTGGGTCCAGCGTTACATGTAGGCCAGATTAGGTAAGTATGGCAGTTTCCTGCCCTAAAGGACATTAGTGAACTGGATGGGTTTTTCTGACAATCGGCCATGGATCTGTGGTCATCATTAGACCTCTAATTCCAGATGTTAATTGAATTCAAATTCCACCATCTGCCATGGCAGGATTAGAACCTGTGTCCCCAGAACATTACCTGGGTCTCTAGATTAACAGTCCAGCAGCATGAGCACTAGGCCATCACCTCCCCTAAATGGACCAAAATATTTATGTAAAAATAATGGTAAAACTAATGGTACCTGCCATTATTATTGTGAAAATGGGGCTGCAATTTCATGTGAGGTTAGATGTGCACATCAGTGGAGGCTGAATCATTGAATATAGTCAAGGCTGAATAAGGCAGATTTTTTGATTGACAATGAATCAAGGCTTTTTTATTCAGGGGGAGGGTGGTGCAGGAAAGAAAGTAACATGAAGGCCACAATCAGGTCAGCTATTATCTTACTGAATGGCAGACCAGATTTGATGGACCAAAAGATCTATTCTTGCTCCTATTTCTTGTCATCCACGTTAAACGTAAAATTCCAGGATATGATGTTCAAGCTGTGTTGCTTTGCCACAAACAGCATGAAAGTGTTCTGTCATTGGCTGGCTTCCTGTTCAAATCCATTGAACAGTGTGAAGTTTCTAATATTATAAATACCAACCAAACTTGCCACACGATGTTTGGCTTGCTTATTTAAGTCAGTGTACTTTTTATCAGTGTGAAAAGCCTTAATTACCCCTCTGGCACTGATTAACATTTAGAAATATGGGAGTATCATTCCTTTAGTTTTTACATTTTATTGGATCAAACCTTTTTTTTACTTTCTTAGTGTCTTTTTTCTCTTATTCCAATATTTTGCTTTCCTTATTGTGCTTTCTGCATCTGATATAGAATTCATTATTCTAACGTGCACTGCAGTTTCGGACTACTTGCTGCTCATGAACAATTTGTGCAAGGGATGCATAGTTGCTTGTCTTGTTCACATGAGTCCCAGCTGAGCTGTTGACACCTTACGTAAGCTTGCCATGCAAAATCTCATGAAAATGAACTGAACGAAGACCAGTTTAATGTTCCACAGTTATGGTTAAGTTTGCCCATTATACCAACTATGAACATATTTGGTGGTATCTAAAGCAAATTAGAAACTTTTGTTTTCATCTGTCATGTTCTGAAGGGTATCTGTGGTTAATATCAAAATAGCATGAGTTAGAAGTTCATAACTTAATCAGTGTTATCTATGGAAAAGTTTATAAGCTCGTCAACTATCAAAGATCTGTTGGAAATTTAACTAATGATGCATTCAAGCAAGAGTTTATAACTTGCCTTTTTTGTTACAATTTAGGGGGAGGAGATAAAGCTCGACAGCGTCACACATCAAGAGGGAAGTTGCTCCCTAGAGAACGTATCGACCGACTGCTTGATCCGGGGTGAGTCAGCTTGTGTGGTTGATGAGGTATATAAAATGTAAAAGTAAAAGTGTGTGGTGTAGCACCCTTGATTTTCTTTGGATCTCTCAGCAGTCTAAGAGTTAATGGAATTGACAGTATTAACTCTTCACATTTGAAGAATGGTATATTGAACTTAGTGAGAAAAAAGCCTGTAGAACTAAGCCCTTTTATGCATTTTGCAAAAAAGCTCAAAAGATCTTTATTCATTCACAGACTCCAATAAAAAGCAATAATTTGACTTTAGTTTTAGACAAGTTAAATACAAGCAGCTTTTGTGAAGTATATTTAAGGCTTAGGTAGACATTTTTAATCAATGAAGGAATCAAAGATTATCGACAAAGTAGTTTTGAGGAATGAAATCAATGAATGCCAGAGCAGACTTAGGCTGAATGGCTATCTGATGGTCTTCTTACAAGTTTCCATTGACTGAATTGGTGTAGTGTCCTAGAATAAGTTTAAGCAAGCTGTAAAGTGCTTTGGGATATTCCATGGTCATGTAAGGCACTATATAAATGTAAGTCTTTTTGTGTTTTAATACCATTCTAAAAATTTATGGATTCATAACCAGAATATATCTCTGATGTAGCAAAGGTTCTCTCTGTTTTTACATATTTCTGTCGACTGTGTTTTCCTACATATAGAAGGTATGTTCACAGTTGTTAGCGTTAACTTCATTTTGTCTTGTTAATTTTTTAAACTGTTGCTGCTGTAAGAATTCTGGATACATTGAATGGTAGTATGCTACCAAAGCTCAGGTTGCTATAAGGATACACTTAAACTTAAAACCACAACTTAAATGTCCCCAAGCCAAGCACAGTTGTTTGTGGGGTGAACAGTTGTATTCCTAAAGTGTGCATATTTTAAATTCTTCTCACAAGTTTGTTGTAACTTCACCCTACTAATTTCATAGTTTCTTCACCTCAGCAAGAGTACCCAATGCATACAGAAATTTTACTGTGAGTCTGTGATATGTATGGAAATGAGTTAAACGCCAAGAGATTTACAGGGGTCAGCAACAGACTGTCGTGGCAGATTAGCAATGGCACAGTGCAAGCTACCCAGAAGCGATGAATTCAAATCCCGCTATAGCAAATTGTCAAACTAAATGCAACTAATATACTAGTTAGAGACAATCATTTTAAAAAAAAAAAAAGCAATGAAAGTTTCTTGATTGTCATTAAAGGTGCAACTGGTTCCCTATTACCCTTAAAGGAAGGGAGCCTAACCCCACATTGATTCAGGTCTTACACAATGAGTTGTATTTCCCGAATTCATGGAGGAGTTGTGTAACAGGGACAAGCAAATTCTGAGAGATGACAGGCTGATTTGCCAATGTCTTCCTGCCTTCTGCAGCTTTTCCCAGAAACCTGTCTCTGCCCTGGATTGCTAATTATTGTCTGATTAATTGTTGCCAACTTTCACACCATGTGGCAATTTTTTCTCCCATGATGCAGATCCTACCCCTGATGTATTGAGTGCAGGAGGTTGGATAGTGGGAATTTGAGGATGTGCTTTGGCTGAAGGAGATCAAAATGTTTCTGGCAGAAATTGGCCAAAGCTGCTGTCTTCCCATATCATACTATTACCATTGTGTGTAATTCTGGCAATGGCTATCTCTGATTGATTGTCATGTGTCTTAAATGTCAGCTACACCCCTGATACTGACAGGCCAGGTGCGGACTGGGGTCTAGGTGCCAGTGTGGTCTGTGTTGGAAGACCATTTCCTGAATTTTTACTTCTGCAATGCTAGATGTTTTATTTCTCGATTTTCTTTTTTTTCCTCTAAGATCTTATAACTAAAGAAGCTGTACCTAGGTACCTTAATACCTAAGATGGTGCTGTAAGTGGCGATATATAAACTTTTCACTGTAATCGTTTGAGTACATGTGACAAGTTATTATTGTAGAAAAGCAAAATACTACAGATGCTGGAAATCTGAAGTAAAATGACAAATTGCTGGAAAATCTCAGCAGGTCTGATAGCATCTTTGGAGAGAGAAAAAGAGAACATTTTGATTCAAATTTGACTCTTCCTTGAATCTGCTGATGTTCATTACTGCTGATGCTAAAGGTGGCGTTAGTGTGTTCCTGGTGTTTCCCTTCAGCATGGCTCCTCTGGTCATAAAGTGGAGGCTGCTAGCCTCCCTTGCCATGGGTAGTGCAATCAGTAGCTACTGTCTTCAGAATCTGCTTGTTATCCCTGATTGGGTGATGAATATGGAGGTGACCTACTAGAGGTTTTCTGATCAACCTGTTCAGAGATGTAGCTACGCACCTCTGGAGCAGATGGGACTTGAACCTTGGTCGAAACCTTTGAATTAAACTCTTTTCATCAAATGATGGATTTAGAAGGTGTGCTGCGAGCTCAAACTGGGTATATAATCCAAAAATGATTCTGATAATGTGTTCCAAATGCTGGTGATAAAATTCAGCCCTATCTCATAGATTAGCTACTGAACATTAGTACTACTTAATGAGCCACACAATTCTCTAGATGACCTCTAGAAGTTACGGTGTTCATCCTGATGAGTCATATAATTTTGAAACATTAACTTTGTTTCTCTCTCCACATATGCTGCCAGATCTCCTTAGTTTCTTTGGCAGTTTCTGTTTTAATTATTGAAGACTTCTATAAAAGGTCTCTTGGCTTGGAAATACCACACCAAAACACTTCAGTTACATTAACTGTTTCCGTCGAACTGACCTGATTCTCCTGTTAGCGAAACTGTTTACTTCTGAATTGAACCAAGGATTCTTTAGACTAAAGCCTTGAACCTTCTGTTCCAAAGTTCGAACTGAACTAATTATTGGAATGTGTTTACCCTACCTGCTGTAAATCAACAGTATAAACATATTTATTAGCGCTATACATTTCTTCGAACCAGCTGAGTGCAGTCACGTGCTTTCCTGGAATTGGTGCACTGGGGTCACTATTCCAAATGCCCTTCTGATTATTTTTAAAAAATACCTTAATAGAACTGATCCACATTTGCCTGCCTCTATGTTGAACTCCAAATTTCTATCATATTTGTATATGTAAATGCATGCCTTGTGTCACAATACAACTGTTGCTTTTTCTGTTGCTCGAGAAAGTTTCAATTTCCAATGCTGATGGCCTTGAAAACCCAATTGTTGGTTCCTGTCTTTAACATATTTGGCAATTGCATGATTGAATTGAGTTTGAAATTGTGGAATGTTTTTTAATCTTGAGGAAACCTGTATTTGATTCATTCAGTTTCTAATTTATTATCCTGTGTTGGAACTCATAAAAAGGAAAAGACAGTTGTTATAGTTAGTGGTGTCATGCAAGCAGCAAGTTGAAAGCAACTTTTAATAGCATGAAACCTGTGCACTTTCTGTGCTATTGAGAAACCTTCATGATGACAGGTGTTTAGTTATTCTTTTAATGTTGTTCCTAATTAATTGAATTTCTAAGGGCCTTTTACGGTTTAGTGGTATTGTCCCTGACTCGAAGGTCCAAGTACAAGTACTACCTTCCCTGGAGGTATTTCTTAACATGTCTGAACAATTGTATAATTTTTTAAAAATTGCGTTTTTCTGAACTTGTTTGATGGCATTCTGTCATGTTTTACATGTCCTTAATTCAAGCCAGAGAGTGGAGTACAGAACGACCTTGGACACTCACCTGTCCAATAGCTGAGGGATTCAGTAAACTATGATCAAACTGAAATAAGGACATTTTTCTCTAAATTGTCTTTGTCTTTGTTTTAACGTCACCCAATTCTCCAAATTATTCTGAAGAAAAGTCATACTGGACCTGAAACATTTACTCTGATTTTCTGTCCACAGATGTTGCCAGGCCTGCTGAGTTTCTCCAGCATTTTTTTCCAAACTTCTAGCCTCTTCCTGATCTGATGCTGACATTTTGATGTAATCTTACAGCAGTCATTTTAAAAAAAGTAGAAAAGCATGCATTATGATAGTCCTAGCATTTCTGTTGCATCAGGACACACACTTACGGAACCCTTTAGCTTTGTGAAAGAGTGAGTGTGCTCAGAGAGGGATTCCAGCAAATGGCTGTGATTGGTTGATGGAGCAACTACTGTTAGGAAATGAGGAAAGTTGGTAAGGATGTGCACCCTGGCATTTAACAAATTCTGTCTTTGTAGACAAACTTTACAGCCAACTGGTGCATAGTAAAATCTTACAAACGAAAGATAATCCAGCTATTGACTAGGCAATGTATTATGAATAGTAATGTTAAGCATGTTAGAATTATTTTTTTTTTAACTTAGAAAAGATAAATTTTATTTAACAGATCTCCATTCCTGGAATTTTCACAATTTGCTGGTTATCAACTGTATGGCGAAGAGGAGGTACCAGCAGGAGGCATCATCACAGGTGTGGGAAGAGTATCTGGGTAAGTATATATTTGAATTGCCCTTTACCCATCTTGCTACTATAAAGAGATGTTACGGAAAGATGTTCAGGACACGTTACGTAAGAAATAGTGTGTGGGGGCTGTGTGAGGTGGCTATGGGATTGACTTATGGTCGATTCTTCTGCCACTCTTGTAGGCAACAAGTTCTAAGGAATTATTACTGCTGCATAAAAAAGTTCTTCCTCCTCACATGCCCCTTGCTCAAAGCCTTAAGTCTGTGGCACATAGTCCTCGAACCATTTACTAATGGGCACATCTTTCCTTTGCCTTACCCGCACCTGCCATAATTTTGTACACCTTTGTAAAATTTCTCTTCAGCTTCCTTTGTGTCCAAGGAAAATAATCCCATCCTCTCTAACTTACTCCTAGCTACCCTTTAACCCACTCCTTGATTGTAGTCCATGGCCCAATTCAAGGCCCTTCTCATCTCCTCAATCCTGCAGGCAGGCCCCCTTCCACCATTTTCCAAGTCTGGAAGGCTGTCACTTTTTTCTTGCCTGCTGGGAACAAAAGCATTGGATTGTTGATAGGCCGAGGCTGTCAAGTGTTCATTAATGGATCACTGAATGGTTGGGGTCAAAAGGGTGGTACATGTTCAGATGTGAGGTAGGGTTAGAATACTGAATGTGTACTTTGTTTTGGTGTTCACTAAGGAAGAGTTAGCCAACAAAATATCCAATGGAAGTAGAGATAGTGGAAGGTAATGGACGAGCAGTGATGCAGTGAAATGGCTGGCTAACCTTAAGAGTGAAAATGCTGCATGATCCAAATGGTTGGCATCTCAGGATGCACAGTAAAGTAGAAGTCAAAATAGTGGAATGGCTTGCTGCAATCTTCCCATGACATGAGGGAGATACCAGAGAATTAGGAGTGGTAAAATTGACATACTTTTAGAAAAAAGTGTGAAGAACAGCCCTCAGGACAGTCTAGTCAGTTCAACATCAGTGTGGGAAGAACTTTAAAAACAATAATCAGTGGTAAAAGTTGGAGGAGTTTGAGTTAACTAAGGAAAGGTAGCATGGATTTAGCAGTGAAGGTACAGTGGCATAGTGATAAAGCCAATGGATTCTAATCCAGAGGGCCATGCTAATACACTTGGATCATGGGTTCAAATCCATTATGTCAGCCGGCAGAATAGAAGTTCAATTCTTAAATCTAGAATATAAAATTAGTTCCTGGAGTGGTGATTGTACAAACTCACTTAATTCACTAATGTCGTTTAGGAAAGGAAACCAGCCATCCTAGCCAAAGATAACTTCAGACTCAAAGTACTGTGGTTGATAGTTAACCACCCTCTTGGCTTTGCAAGCCACCCAGTTCGAGTGATTAGGAATTTATCTAGGGTAACAAATTCTGGTTTTGTCAATGGCACCTATATCCCACAAAAGAATAATAAAATTGTGGAGGATAGATTCTAATTGACATAATCATACTGACAAATCTAACTGAATTCCCACTGAAGTAACAGAAGGCTGACAAAAAGAGCCAGCCTGCCTGTTTTAGTATTTTCCTATTGGTAGAAGATTTAACTGCCATCTATTCCCATGTTCATATTTTCCACTTCATTTTCCTTCTCAACTTGGTCTAATTGGCCTTGTTCTTGTTTGAAGAATTCAGCTGAGGTGCAAGAACCTTTTTTTCTTTTTCATTGCATGCTCTGTCTCCCTTGTCATCCTCAGAGCTCTGGATTTGGTTAGTAATTGCTTTTTTTAAACATTAGTTCACAGGAAGTGGATGTCACTGGCTAAGACATTGCATTTATTGCAGTCTTCTACGTAATGGCATAGTGATAAGGTCTAGCTCAAAATCTAATAAATCTGATACATAGATCCTACTTTGGCTGCATCTTTACATGTCGGGCATCAATTCATTTGTGTATAATTAAATTAAAACTTCCCCTTTCTATGCTTGCAGATGCAGCCAACTGAGACGTTGAATTGAAAATTCAGAGTCCATTTTATTTGTCTGCAGTTTAGGGAAACATGGTTACCATTTCATTTTTCTGTTACATACTAATTTCAGGAGTCATTTGTATTGATTATAATTTGAGAAATATTGTTCAACCTCATTACTGCCTTGGTTCAAGTATAGACACAAGAACTGAATTCAACAGGTGTAGGAGAGTGACTGTTCTTGACACGGAGGCATTTGTCTAAATGTGGCATCAAGGATCCCTCCTGATTCCCCAAATCCTGTCTAGCATTTACAAGTTATAAGCCAGGAATGTGATAAAACACTCCTCACTTGCCTAAATGAGTGAGCTCCTACAGCACTGAAAAAGGTTCACACCATCAAGGACAAAGCAGCTGACTTGTTTGGCTCAACATCCACAAACTTGCACTCCATCTACCTCTGACACTCGGTTGCAGCAGTGTGTACCCATATGCAAGATAAACTGCAGAAATTCACCAAGGCTCCTTTGGCAGCGCACCCGCTTCAAACCTACAACCACAACTATCTAGAAGGACAAGGGCAGTACCACCATGGGAACACTACCACCTGCAGGTTCCACGCTAAGCCACTTGCGATCCTGACTTGGAAAAATATAACTGTTTCTTCAGTGCTGGTGAGTCAAAATCCTGGAACTCCCTCCCTAACAGCATTGTGGGTGTGACTGCAGTAGTTCAAGAAGGTAGATTACCACCTTGTCAAGGGTAACTAGGGATGGGCAGTAAATGCTAGCCAGTCAGCAATCCTACATCCCCATCAATGAAGGGCTCAGTTTGTCAGACTCTACACAAATGCAAAACCTTACAAAATCAGCCCTCCAGTGATTTGTCACAATCTTGTTATCACACGCATAAGACTGAAACAGAAGTGCAGCAATACCCAGCCGGTCTGGCACTAACGGTATCTGAAGAGAGAGAAATAATGTTAATGTGTCAGGACAATGACCTTTCATCAGAAGATGTGCTTCATCTAAGCAAGTAAATGAGGACAGTTAATCCTAGAACCCAAAGCTCGCACCACAGCTTTAGAACTTTTATCGATTTGCTGCTTTTTTTTTAACATTAGGAGTGCAGTAGTTTCTTGACTAGGTGAAACCTTGATATTTAGGTTCCACCAGAGGGTGCCATTGCATTACTCAACTGTAATGTTAGTTATTAACTGATTTCTTGGTTGTGACCATTGCTAGAAAGAGTTGGTAATTTGATGACAATTTCACTAATGATTCATGCATAATGTTTTATTATAATAACTTTATTACAGGAACTGATTTGGCCTTCCATTTATGTTCAATACAAGCGCATAAGTTAACTGATTCCCAGACTCCAATTACCTTACAGAAGCTACTCTAAGCAGAAGATCTAGAATGACCAGCTGTCTCTCACCAGGCCTTCTATGTGTCTATGTTGCTGTTGACTCTTCGGAACATTACCATAATAGGAAACTAGTTCTGCTATCATACAATAGGATTGTGCTTATGTAATAAGTAGTCACATAATAAGTCCCATGCAGATTTAGTTGAGCTGCATGTTTATGTTGATTAATAATCTTTATACATGACCCATCCATCCAAATTAACTGACCCCTTGCTTCCCCATTTCATTTGTTCTTCTACTAAAGATTTTAAAAGAAAGGAGTGCCAGCTCAGGCTTTTGGGTCATCTTGACATTAGTATATGTATGAATAAAGTGAATGGAAATTCAGCATATGTAACCAGACCACATTGCAAGGCCAGAATATGACCAAAAACTGGCCACCCAATTCCAACACCTCACATGCAGTCAATCCTGAATGTGCTAACGTATTTTTATTTAATTTTTAACAAAGGATTATTAGCTGTGGTTCTATATTGTTTGAGAACGAAATATTTGGAGATCAGGATGCTTTGTTGGGTCTCTATAGTATGATAGAGTCAGAATAATATTCAGCGTCGACAACGGAAATTGCTGAGAAAACTCAGCAGGTCAAGCACACGTGCGGAGAGAAAGCCAGAGTTAACATTTCGAATCCAGTGACCCCTCGTCAGAACCGATTGTAGCTAGGAAAGGTTTGGTATATTATCCTGAAGATGGGGTGGGGGGTAGTAGTAAACGATCAGTGGAGATGTAGCCCAGAGAGAGAGAGAGAGAGAGAGAGAGAAAACAGCAGTTAGACAGACAAAAGAATGCATAAAGGTCAGCCTGGGAGAATCAGTAGCTGCTAATTAGGACCATTAGTAGTTGATGCTTGTGGAAGCAGCTCATATAATGACAAGGCCTGGTGTGTGGGGGTTGGAGTAAGGACATGGGAAAAGGCATTCAGGCCCTAAAATCATTGAACTCCGTATTGAGTCCCTAAGGTTGCAGAGTCTCCAAGCGGAAAATGAGATGCTGTTCTTCACAGGTTTGAGGGACGTGGACAGAGTATCCAAGGAGCAGCTGTTCCCCTTAGTTGAAGGGTCAGTCACAATGGGACACAGGTTCAAGGTGAGGGGCAAGAGGTTTAGGAGGATGTAAGGAAAAACATTTTTATCCGGAGGGTGGTGAGGGTCTCGAATGCGCTGCTTGGAAGGGCGTTAGAGGCAAAGTGCCTCATATCCTTTAAAAGATGCCTGGATGACCACTTGGCACGTCTTAACATTCAATACTATGGGCTAAATGCTAGTAATTGGGATTAGGTTGAAGGTCAGGTGTTTCTCACATGTCCGTGCCGACTCGAAGGGCCAAAGGGCCTCTTCTGCTCTCTATGATTCTATGATTGTTTCAGCCTGCACTGAGCTTTGCTGGAATGTTGCACCACGTCCAAGACATAGATTTAGGGCAGGGATCACGGTGGTGTGTGGAAGTGGCAAGCAACAGGAAGCTCAGGGTCATTTTTTGTGGACAGAACATGGGTGTTCTGGGAAGAGGTCATCCAGTCTGTGTTTTGTCTCCTCAATGTAGAGATTACATTGTGAGCAGCGAATGCAGGAGACAACATTTAGTGAAGTGCAGGTAAGTCGCTGCTTCACCTGGAAGGTGTGTCTGGGCCTTGGGTAGTGAGGAGGGAGTTAA